TGTCCTCGATAGTGCACTTACTATAAGGAGTTAGAGTATACTAACTTTAACTAACATTATATTAGGCGTACTACTAACGTAGTACGATTAGGTACAGTCTATTTAACTATTATATGTGATGTAAATTTTTTTTTGGGGGGGTTTGGGTATAATGAAAGTGTTCCAAAATGCAACATTAATTTCTTGATGACCTAATAATACCTAAAACCTAAATGAAAATAGTTTAGTCTACAATAATAACTAACAGTTCAATAAGTAAAAGGTGTAATCTCTCAACAGCGTGTTTGAATTCTGGTGATGAATGCATAACTTACTTGTGCCATAATAGCCAAAATCTCACTCAGCAAAAGACGAAGTCTCCTTGCAGCATCGCTTCGTTCAAATTCCAGTGATAAACTATTCATAAGTGATGAAACCAAGACACTTTCTCCTGAATGACCACCTAGTTTCAACCTACAAGTAAAAAAACAACATATTGTACTACACAGCATAATATTTCTGTCTATAATTGAATAAACAGTTGTTTAAATATTTGTTTAACAACAAGTAAAAGCTTGGAATGGTCTATTCTTTCATTGGGGTGTGTGTCTGTGAGCCAGACTAGTTTTGGAGAATTCCACTCCTCATCAGTGACCCTGGACACTACCACCAATGAAATATCAGACCAAACCAAGCCTTTATAGTAGTGAGACATGTTTTTTTTTTTTTTGTGTGTGAGTGTAAAACACTTAAATACACCATTTCGAGATTCAGGAAATGTTATCTAGAAAACTTTTTGTGATAGCTTGAAATGGCTCAGGAATTTTAGAATCGCTACAGTTTTTCTTGTTTTTGTTTAGTTTTCCATGTAAACCTCTGTATATGACGTAAGATGTTGTTTTTTTAAGCATATCTTAGGCAGAATGTTGACTTTTTTTTGCCAGTTCCAATTAGTATAACATGGAATTTGATATTGGAGCTTGTCATTCGCCAGTTTCGTCATTCCATTTACCATCGACCATGGCAGAGAAATTCTACAAAACGGCGGAATATGGCTTTACGAAGAACAGACTTAAATACACAGTCATCTATTTACATTTAAAACCAGTTATTCTCTTTGTCTATGGTAAAACATGCAAAAATCTTGTGATTTATTTCTTCGTAAAAGTAGTTTCAAATATTTTTTTTTTTAGTTCAAAGTTATAAATTTAATTTAACATTGTTAATTTAAATGTGTTTACAATCCTGTTTGATTTTCATAACTGAATATTAAAAGTCATAATAAACTGTACTTTCTTAAATAAAGAGGATAAATATTAACTAATTATGTATTTTATAGATGAATTTATTAGATTTGTCAATAGTCACATACAATGTCAAACAAAGTTGTTGAACCCTTGTGCAACAAGAATGAATGAAATTTATTTACAAGCTTACGTATTTTATTATTATAGCAATAATCTTAAGAAATGGGCCAATGACAACCGTCAATCATAAATTCCACGCTTTTCTGGTTGGTGAAAGAAGGTGGACCAGTTATAACTGGATATACTAACCTTCAATTTATAAAATATCGGGTCGCTAATATTAAAATAATAGTAATAATAACTATGGAATTATATAAAAGTTTTATATTTCTATAATTATGCTGCTATATTTATTTCCAAATTGTTATTAATATATTATTAATCTTGTTTTATTGCAGCTACGAAACTAAGGAGAACATAATATAATACCTTTTTTTCGCTGAAGCGTTCCAGGTGCTCATAATAGTCATATGTGTTAGGGTGTTTTATTCTTGTCGAAGATTCGATTTGAACGAGGTTAACGTAGAATATTAACAAACATAAGGTGTTTATTTTGTGCAATTTTAACTTTTGGTCTGTAGTTGGTGAGAAAAGATATCTCAACAAAGATGAGTTACGGTCGAAGAAGGCCTCCAGAAATAGATGGTATGTCATCTCTTAAAGTAGACAATTTAACGTATCGTACAACAGCAGAAGATCTAAAACGCTTGTTTCAGAAATATGGCGAAATTGGAGACGTATATATACCGCGTCACCCATATACTCGTGATAGTCGTGGTTTTGCTTTTGTTAGGTTTTATGACAGACGAGATGCAGAAGATGCTATGGATGCTATAGGCGGATATGTTTTGGATGGTAGAGAATTGAGAGTTCATATGGCTAAATATGGAAGGCCGAGTGATCCATGGCGATGTAGTGGGTCACGCGGAAGCAGAATGAGGGGCCGAGGACGTTCACGTTCAAGAAGTCGTCGGTCCAGGTCAAGATCGAAGAGGTAAATAGGCTTAAAGTTAAGCCTATTTTATAACATTTATCTTTCCATTCAGTGTTTCAAATTCTCTATAAATGGCCATACCTAACAATTCCCAAACTATTAATACTATACGTACAGCTGTTTTTATCCAGAACAATCTGATTGTGTAATAATCGTCCAACTAGTGAGGAGACCTACCTACGTCTTTTCGTGAAATTCTTTAACACCCATTAACAGTTTAACTTTAAATTTTAATCAACATTAAAATGATAGTGTTCGTAGATTTACTAATTTTAGTCCGAAGTTGTAAGTTTTTTGTTTTTTATTATACCATTAACAGTTAAAATGTTAAATTAATTGTTTGGTTAAATTTGTGAAATTTTATAACAAAAAACACACCAGGATATGACTTAAAATATTGCAATTTCTTATGAATGAATGGATAATCATAATGTTTATTATCATATCTCCAATGCTGTTTTCTTGTATGCATGTATAGTGTTAGCTGCAGATCCCACATGTTTATGTATCACAATTGATTTGGGAATTAGTTTTTCTTAGAGAATGGACATTCAATATTCTTATTCGTTAGTGCTGTGTCATTGAATGTTATATCCCCGACTCATTAAACATGTTGAAAACTTCCAGTCAGTAAAATTGTCTTGACATCGAGCCAGTGCAATGAGCTGTATATTACATTGTCAATTCAAATACTTCTGTCTTTCATATTTAAAATGAGAGCAAGCCTTCAGCCTCGGGGGCAGCTGGTCTCCTGAACCCCTGCCAAGATGTACCTGTTAAACTTTTCATTTTAGATTGCATTAATCTATTATGGACCTTTGAGTTTGTCGTACTTGCTCCTGCGTGTGTTTGGGAGTTTATCCAGAAAGCTCATCTTCTCTTCATAATGCTGGTTGCTTGACATATGGCACTCTGTTTACTTACAGTTAGGTTTAGATAGGTACATATATATATATAACACGGTTCACATGCCTTAGCCACAATATTGTGATGAAGTTTTTTCATCCTCAACCTCCTAATGCCTAGGACGAGTTATGAAACGTGAGTGTCGAGCAGAAATAGCAGAGGGAGCTAGCTGCACCAGTATAGTTGACACAGTACCATTGGTGGAGAATAGTCGCATGATATGTACGTGTTCAGAACTGGGGTGAAATTTATGTGGTATACAGACTGGTGTGCTGATTGCAAAAATTTTTTTAGTAATGCTTAGAGGGTAGATGAACATTGAAATAACTTTGTATGAAAGGGGTAAGTACCTATTGGAAATACATTTTTAGTGTAAGGAAAATGCTAACTTTTGTAATCAAGGATTGATGAATTGTATGAATACTTTTTAATGAAATGTTGTTTTTCTTTATATGAATGATCCCTTAGAATTTATAGAGTTTATCTATAAAATTTTATCAAGATATTTTTATGGCTTATGTGTGACATTATATATTTTGCTGATTACAAGGAGATTCAAATTGTTGTTGATCATTTCAGATCACGTTCCAGGTCTAGATCAAGATATTGTTCACGTCGATATAGTTCAAGATCCAGAAGCACTTCACGAAGTCGTCGTCAGAAGTATTCGAGTTCAAAGTAAGCACTGTACATCTAAATCCATATTGTAGAATAATGTTATTACTAAACTTGTGTTTTTATGAAGTGCAAGTTATAACAAGCTCACTACAAAGTTCTTCGTATTAATTGTAATTCAGTTTCTGAAAACAAATATTAAGTATTTAAGTTTTTTCTAATTAATGAGTTAGCTAAATGTACTTTTATATGAGATATAACATACAGAGAAATAACTTTAAGTTTACAAACTAACATAATAATAACATAACATAATGTTTAGGGACAACAAGGGACCTATTGGTCCATCTTGGCTGTCCCATCCTCTAAACTAAACTAAAACTACTAAATAAATAAAAACAAATCTTAAACCCAGTCCTTACCATTCATATAGTTATCAAGCTTTCTCTTAAACTCACTTAAATTTACTGCCACCACAACATCTGAAGGCAGCCCATTCCAAAAGCCAACCACCCTTTTAGAAAAATAAAACTGTCTTAGCTGAAGATGACTTCTACCCTGCCAAAATGTATATTTGTGTCCCCTGGTCCTACTATTCTTGTCATTAAGTATGAATAAAGATGATGCATCCACATTATTAATTCCCCTCACAATCTTAAACACCTCAGTCAGATCCCTTCTTAACTCTTCTTTTTTTCAAGAGAAAACAATTTTTGATATCTTAAACTCTCCTCATATGACAACCCTTTCATCCCAGGCACCATTCTAGTAACCCTACTCTGGACCCTTTCCAATAATCCAATGTCCTTTCTAAGTTAAGGGGCCCAAGACTGAACATAATACTCCAAATGTGTCCTAACCAGTGATCTATACTATGAAATTATAATCTCTTTAAGGCATTATAAAAAAAAAAATAATTATGCAAACAAACTAAAGATTTAAGTATTTTTATTGTTGCACAATTTTTCTTTGCTTTTATTAATGATTCATATGTTTAATGATTAGGATTACGGGCTTTTTTTTTTTAATGCAAATGACACTGTACCAAACAAATTTTAAATTGCAAAATGTAGTTAAAATGTTCTGTAATGAAGGTTGTTTGACCAATACATTGATCATCTTGTTCCTTACAGTTTGATTTTCTGTATTTGACTGTTGGTGTGTAAAATAATAACAACTAAGTATGGGGCTTTCTTTTTGAAGCTTTTGTAATACACTTTAAATGTTTTACTTTAAAAGTTCTGCAGTCATTTTAAGGAGACTGCACTCCTCCTTTTTTTTTTTTCTCTTGAAAATGTAAACATTAACAAATTGGCAAAAATGAGCAAAATCTCTGTGAAGATTTTCAGTAGCATTCATTCTCCAAGAATAGTGTTGTAAGATGGGGAAAGTGAGGAGGTGTAGCAGTAGAGAAACTTGGCAGAAATGGCAAATTAGTTGTGTCAATTCTTGTTCAAAGCAGTCCATTTCACAGTAGAGATGTGGTTAAGATTTCTACTGTCTAAATTTGGTACATTTAATACATTAGATTTAATAATAATTTTGAATTTTGCTTCTATGTAAAACTAAATTCTACATCAAGAAGTAAAAAAATATTCTAAAAATTTTTTAGTTATGAATTACTTCTTTAATTTGTGAATAAATGCTTATTCTGACCGTAGTATAAACCACAAGTTAAATGGTGTGAATCAGAAAGGAGTGGGAAACTTAAACAGCCGTAATATCTCTATTCTTCACATTGTAACTGAATATTTTATTACTGTATATTTTGGTTATTATGCTAAAAATTTTGATTACAATCTCTGACTTGTGGGATTTTGTCCTGTTGTGAGTTTTATTCAAATTCAACTATTTGCAATAGCTACTGCAGTTAATGATATAGGGGTTATTCTATAAAATATTTTTATTTTAAATTTTTGGAAAAGTTTAATATAATGTGGTTTGCTTTTGGACTACTAAGCATGCCAAGTTTGGTCTAGATCAGTCAACTTGTTTAGGAGATGCATTCACAGACAGACAGGTTAATTATAATTATGTCTTAGTAATCATAGAATTCAAGTATTCTGTGGCTAGTTAGATTTATTAAGCAATGCTAAAACAAAAGAAAATTAATAAATTTAGAGAATTAACTTGAGAAAATGTTATGTATTCAGATGTAACGTGCATATATATAAATTATATGTATTTGTTTATTGTAATTGAGAGACGGACTAAAATTAGGTTGGTTAGGTTATATGTAAGCAACTCCTAAATTATCCTAGTTAGGGCAGCTTTAAACTAGGACTAGAGTGGTGAGGATCAGATTAAGCCAAGTGCAGAAAAAATATGAAGTAGATAATAAATGTAATGTAGGATCAAAATACAGAAACAGTTTTAATGGTAGGCTAAATTACTATTATTCTAATGCTAGATGTGTAAGAAATAAATTATAGCAGTGGTTGAAATATGAAGGGAGGATTTTAATGACAAGGTTCTTTAAAATGCAGGATCATAGGTTATTTAAAAGTGGTAAAAAGAGGGTTAGGAGTAGTTTTATATTTTGTTGAAAATAATAGTAAGGAGATTGAATCTGTTTGAGTTTCTCTGAGTGATTATAAGGAGCAAAGGCTTTTAATTGGAATTTGTTACAGATGAAAATAATGAGAAACTTTAGAGTGAGATAAGAATTCAGCTGTTTATGAAGTCGTAATCATGGGGATTTTAATTTCAGGCCTATAGATTGAGAAATGTTAAAGCCAAAGCTTGAGAGAGACAGGTTTTTAGAAACTGTTTAGAGTGGGGTTTCTTCATCAGTTGTTCAGGGAACCTGCTACAAACAATGCTGTTTTAGATTTATTGTTAACTTCTGATATGGAAATGGGTTGATAGGTAGATTGGTAAACATGTGGGTGCAAGTGAATATTCCCGAATTAGGTTGTTTTACTGCATACGGTGGTAAGAAATGATGAGATTTTGGTTCTGAATTTCAGTTTGAAGGGATAAGACAAGAATTCTGTTGTTAATTGGGTATCTTAATCATTTGGAGATACTGAGAAATGAGGAAAACATTTTTTAATGAATTTTTAAATAATTGAGATAACATGTTCCTAATAAATGAAGGATGGCTACAAGTAAAAGACCAGGTTGGTTTATGGAGGATAAAATGAAAAAGAGCATTATAAGTTTAAGTTGACTGCTATGATGGGAGAATTAGAAGATCAAGGAAGGTGGTCAAATCGAAAAGGCTATATAAAAATGCTTTTCTAACAGCTTGTGCATTATGGTTTTTGAGTTGTGGTTTTTTTACCACTTTTGGTAAATAAACATTGTAGAAATTCAGCATAATAATATCGCTTATGTGAATAAATAGTTTCTTATACTGCTTTAGTGGTTTCATAACACATTCAAGCAAATTATAAACTATGTTTTGATGGCAAGTACATTGATAATATTTGTTTAATTAAATTTGTAATGTAACTAAAAAGTCTGTGACATGCACTTTGACTCTTGTATTCACAGGGTTAAGTTGATGTGGCATTAAGTAATAGTTATCTCTTTTTTTATTGTTTTCATTATACTTGTGCATCTTGTAAATAAAATGTTTTCTTCAATTTTATTCTAATAAATAAATTACTAAATATTTTTTAAAGATTTATTTGTACATTTCACGTAAACTCACTACATAGTATAAATACATAAATTAGAAAATACCAATATTATAAGTTCCAGTAGATGTCATCATGTTGAAGAAGCAACCTGAAGCTGTTTTTGGTTTTAATTGCTCTAACAGGATTCCAATGTTAAAACAAAAATGGAAAGTTTGGCTAATTTTAAACACGTATATACCACGTGATTAGTAGGCTTCGTGTTATGTATATGGTTAGACCTAGTATTGTTTAAGTTCATTGCTAATATATATGTGTTTAGCAGATTATGGAAAAACCTTATTGCATGGTTTATAATTTCAGGTCCCGGTCCAAAAGCCGTAGCCACAGCAATGGTAAATTTTCCCAAAAGAGTGAAAATGGTCATAGGAGGAATCAAAGCAAAAGTGCAAGTCTCAGTCGAAGTAGGAGTCGTAGCCCTGTGCCAGACAAGAATGAAGAGAATAAAGAGGATAACAACAGAAGTGAAGGTAGTAGGAGCCAGTCAAAGAGCCCAGAGAGAGAGAGACTTAAGTTTCGGTCTCGTTCCCGTTCTTGAAAGGGATGGGTTATTGTGAATCATCATCAAGGGTTACTTGCAGTTGGAATGGTCTGGTGGTGACCAGAGGCAGGTTACATGTATGTGTCAAACCTTTTCATTTTTCTAATAAATTTCAACTTGTACGTTCATCTTCATACGTGGATTTAGCTTTGATTTAGGTTCCTTTTTTTGGGGAATGAATCTTTTCTTTATTGTTAATCTCTCATTTTCTTTTATTTTGTTTTTTTAAGCAGTGATAGTAGTTTCTTGACATTTTCCGAGTGGTTAATTAAAATTTTTTCTAATGGCTGAAAAATTTATTTTCTGCACTTATCAAGGATAAAGAATTCCTAAAATCTTTACATGCCTTGTTGTATGTAGCACAAAATATTACGTGGCCAATTAAAAATTGTATTTCTGTAGACTGTTATTAGTTGCCGGGTTTTCCATTCACACTAGTATACCTCTCCATCCCACCTGGTTCTAATGTACACTACATAACTTTTCTGTGTAGAAAAAAGAAATGGTGTGCAGTGACAGAAAATAATTTTCAGACTAAACTTTTTAATTACAGTTCCAAATACATGGTACACCTGTGACCATTAGTTTTCATTATTATGTTCATGTAGGAGATTCACTAGCACCAGACACAGTATAATAAGTGGGAAGCTTTATGTAAATAACATTTAAATAGCTGATTAAAACAAACGAACAAAAAATATCCATTATTTAGACTTATAAAAAAACAAGTAAAAAAATTTTTTTTTAAGAATTGTTTTTTTTTTGTTTTACATGGTGAATTGAGGTACACAACACATTTTTTTACATGTTCTAAACATGTTGGGCAATTTTGTAAGCACTTGAATCTCGGTAACAGAGTTATGTTTTTTGATTGTATCAATTCTTGGGGGCACTCAATAATAATATTTTGCATGCTAATGCCACCAAATAAATGTACTTATGTGGAAACTTTGTATGTTCTTAACAATATGTAACGTAATATACCATGTTTCAATATACTGTAATGTGTCATGTTTGAGTGTTAAGCTAATACATAAATTTACACAATAAATAAATTTCTCAAATTAAAGCTGTTCACGTGCATAATAATTGGAATTATTCCCAGGATGTGTTTGAAATAGTTCCTTTTGCAAAATGCACAAAACAGTAATTTTTTTTTATTGAAAATTGGATTAATTAGAGCATCACTGAGAAAAATAATATTACTATTAATCTTACCTTTAGTATTTCCACCAGTTCAATGTGTTCGTCATTTAAAACTTCAAGGTTTACTATTTGTATTTTTACAAGATAAAAATAACACACTACTCACTTGTTGATTAGAAGCTTATCAGTTAACTTATACAGTTTTTATTAATTACCATGTTTACAAATAACTATTTTCTACAAATCGCAACAAAGATGAGTTTTTGTTTTTTTGGCTAGGACTTGGAGAATGTGAGGCATGAGGAGAAAAAAACTATTAAACCTGTGACTTATGTCTAAAAGAACATAAAGTTATTGATTACTTATTGAATAAAATGTAGGAAGAAATTATTTTTATGGCAGATTTTTTTAAAATACAAATGATTTGGATATTATTTTTTAATGTTGGCCCCCTATACATCATAGTTGGAAAGATGTAAAAAAGTCCAAAATTATATCAAGTCTGAAGTTATAATTTTGTTTATGAAGTTAGAATAAAATTACAAAAATTGTTATGTTAAAACAAACCACTATATTATGCATGGAAGGTATTTTTAAATGTTGCATGCTGCTTATAGTGAACATAATTATGTGATCTTAGCTACCTGTGTGGTTTGGCTTAGGTAAACAAAAAATCTTAGACTTGTATACCCATAGGATGTGAAAAAGGTGTTATAAAGGTAAGTGTTAGTTTTACTTGTAGTAATATCTGCCCCCCATGTTTCTGTGGTCAGCTTAATGAGGACTTATGTATGGCTTTGTGCTTAAGCAAATCACGTATTCTTTCAAAAAGTAATTTCAGAAGTGCAGCTTTTATTTGTTTCATTAATCTATTGTTTTTTTTTCATTTTTAAAGGCCTACATACTATTTTTTTAGTACTGTAACAGTATTAAAACCCCAGTTAACAAAGTTGTTAAAAATGTATTTTAAAAAAAATCTAGTTTTTTGTTCTGAACTCCCAGGTGCAAGCTGAGCTTTTAGGGTGAATAAATATCATTTCTGATATAAGTTTTTACTAAAATCTCTGAAAGTAAAGCCATTGGTTTATGTGTTACGTAAAAAAAATTGTATGTTTATATATATAAA